GCCCCTGTATTGCCAACCCCCACTTCCTACTAATGCACCCGAGCCACTGCCACCCTTGCGCCCCCAGTGCCGGCATAGCGGTATCCCCTTCCTGCCCCTGCACCCTTGTAGCTGCGTACCCCTGTATCCCCTCACCCATACGCCTGCCTCCTGGCACCCACCCACCGCGGTTCCCCGAAGCCCCTACGTCCCCATGAGAGTCGGTCGGGCCTCCCTGCCACGCGCGGAGCTCCTCCCACCCCAGCCTCAGAGACTTCCAGCGCATGCGCCGCGTCCACGGGCGCGAGAGATGGCAGCCCGGGCTCCGAATGACGTCACCAAGCCCCTATCCCTTTTCCCGTTGCAGGGAGGTCCGCTGTGCGCTCTCACTTGATGGCTCCCCGAGGGACCGCGCCTAGTGGTCCCTTTGCATAGTCTCTGCCGCACCTCGCAGTCTGCGGAAAGTGGCCTCACCCTGGACTCCCTAATTTCCTTTCCCTGGTCACTTCCTCCTAGCCAGACGCGGAATGCGCTCTCTAAGCGGCGAAAAAGGGTCCGGGGCGTGGCGGGTGGCTCCCCCCTCCGGCCTGTGGCTCCGCCGCGGTTGAGCTTGATTTCCTTGCCTTTCTGCCTCCACCGACCTTTGTGTGGGTGGGTGTGTTTAATCTCATTCATCAAACACTCAGCCCTTAGGATGGGCCACGCACAGCTCTGTGCCCTCGGGGTCACATGGGCCCAGAGCGCCCGCCCCCGGGTTTAGGCTTACATCTAGTGGGGGCAGCGACGACCAGAGCAGGTGAGCTGTTGTAGAGGTTTACACTCTAAACAGAAACAGAGCACCATGGGCTGGGGAGTGTGTCCCGGACGGCGGAGACAGACTGGAGCTCAAAGCTGAGGCCCTGGAGCAGGCCTAGAGCCTGCTGTGTCTCTCCTAGGGGCAGTAGGACATCTGGGTTTGGGGGAAGACAAACCCTAGAGAGTGGAAGGAGCTGGCATGTGGACAACGCGGTCAGAGGTAAATGGAAGGGTGGCTGAAGGTGCAGAAAGATGGGGCTTTTACCTGGACGGCCCTGCACAGTCCCTGGGGGTTTCTTGGGAGAGGCTGCCTTCAAGAACTTTGCAACAGCGTAGTTAGAACACCTGAGACCAGACATTTACAGTGGAATTTTACAAGTAGGAGGATGGTGAGTGTATCACACACAGATGTGTGTCACTCAGGAGAGATTGTTTGCCATCACACACCTGTATGGGGGTCTGGCCTTTCCAAATGCACAGGTGCTCTTGGGAATCAGCTGGACGGGAGTTTCAACTCCTGTGGAGGGGGAGATCTGAGATTCACCCCTAACTTCCAGTGCAGTGAGAGGAGGAAAGGGAGTGGTTCCAGGAAAGTGGCCTGTCCAGCCTGCCTGCCTGGGGGAAGCCTCCATGGGGTACACTGGGCACTAACGTGTCCTCCAAGGTCCCTCACGTCATTATGCAGAGGGGCTCATAGGCCCATTGGAAAACTCAAACCACGTAGTTATTAAATCGACTTAAAACTCAGGGAGAAGCTCTCGGCACCCCAGCCTTCCCACTGATGGTGGTGTTCAGAGTGCCTCGTCCAGGTACCTCCAGGGGTCCTGGGCCAAACGCACAGTGAGGGACATGATGACCTGTTTTGTGGAGAGTCGCAGTGGAGACCAAGGCCACAGGGAAACTGAGAGCACCAAGGGTCCCTAGTGCTTACTGCCTATACTTTATGCATCTTAGGAAATTCAGCCATCCCACGTCATGCTTTTTAACTTGTCTGGGCACCTAGCAGATTGGGATATCCTAAAACAGGACACATGCTCATTCCAGAAGGCGGTGGTTGGGCTGAGGCCTGGACAGGTAGGGACAGGGCACGCAGGGTGAAAGGCCAGAAGCTTGGCCTGCCCCAAAGCCCAAGACTGGTTTTACACTGTGCAGTTTTGAGAGTTCCCGTATGTTTCAGATTCTATTTGTCAGATAGATGGTTTGCAAGTATTTTTTCCCAGCCTGTAGCTTGTCTTGTCCTCGTCATGGGGCTTTGGCAGAGAACTCCATTTACGAGACCCAGTTGTCAATGCTTCCTTGTATGGATCATGTTTTTGGAGTCAAGTGAATTAGCCTTGGAGAGAGATTATAGCAATAAATGAGGAGCCCAGACATGTGAGGGACCAGCAACTTTGCAGCTGACCTCCTAGCCCCGCCCACTCACCCAACACCTACCCAATGCTGACCACTGACCCCCAAGCTGGCCCTCCCTCTCCCAGAGGGCCCTCCACTGTCCCCCAGCTGGCCCCAAATGCCCACCACCCAGCTTTCAGCATGTTTACCGACCACCAGATTTCCTAGGGAGCCCGGCTACAACCACTGACTCTCAGACCCACCAGCTGACATTTAGGGCTGATCCATCAAATACAAGGACGTGGTTCAAGGAGGGCTGTGAGGGAGGGTGTCCTGGAGGCCCAAGGGCAGGGCTGGCAGGAGGGGTGGTTGCCACTCCAACACCCCCAGGAAGGAGGGAAGTGCCAGGATGCAGGTCCCCCAGAACCAGGTAGAAGCAGCTGCCAGAAGTGGGGGATACCCAGACACCTTGAGGCAGTGGGAGGAGGTAAGGATACCAGCTAGAACTTTTGCTGGGTGGGCATCAGAGAAAAAGCAAGGCCTTGAGGCTCAGTGAACAGTGCATGAAAACAAGACCCTCTGGGGCATGGGCTGGACTCTGACGACGGGGGCTGTGGCCACTGCCGGGAGAACAGCTCCACTCAGTCCATGCCACTGGGGCTGGCGACCCAGGCCTCTCTTCAGGATCTGAGTGGGGATCCATTTGCCTTTTTGGTTGGGAGACTTGAACATGCTGGTGATCAGCTTGGGACTGACAGCTTGGTGTAGAAACCAGATGTGGGGCTCAGACTGGGGACAGGAATTCAGAAACTGGGAGCACTTTGCCAGCCATGGCCGTTTCTGAGGCTTCCAGGGCTGAGCTCCACCTCTGGGGTCCTGTACCTTTTTTCCATCTTTCTCAATAAAGTGCTCCCCCCAGGGACATGGGGAGTGGTGTGCCGCAGCTGCTGCAGAGACCTCCAAGCTCCACAGAAGCGGGCAGTCTCTCCCCACTCCTCCCTCACCCCAACCCCTGACCCCTGCCTATTTGCTGTCTGGATTTGCCTGGACGTTTCTTGTAAGTGGAATCAGATCCTGTGGGGGTTTTTGAGTCTCCCCTCTCTCAGCAGCACCGTGTTGAGGTTCACTCATGTCATGGTGCATGTCAGGGCAGGGCTCCACTCCTTTTCAGAACTGAATAGCATTCCAGTGTTGACAGACCACATTTTGTTTATGCATTTATTGTTGACATCTGGGCAGTTTCCATCTTCAGGATGATTGTAACACTGCAGCGAACTGGATGTATGGGTATCTGAGTCCTCCTGTAGACCCAGGATGGAATGGCTGGACCCCATGGCACTTTCCACGAGGCCTTTCTCTGCTGGGCCTTCTCTTGCAGAGGCAGGCAGCTCTGAACATTTCATCACGCCTCTGACCCAGGTAACCCCAACAGGTGGTCAGACTAGACCAGAGCTGTCAGTTGAGTTTTCTGTGAGGATGGAAGGCGTTTTGTATCTGTGCTGCCCCATGTGGTAGCCACTGGCCAAGTGTGGCCTGGGCCACCGAGGCATTGCTCCCTTATCTTTTCATTGAAAATTAAGTAGCCCCTGTGGCTTGTTGCTGTTTATGGGACAGCCCAGCCTCAGAGGTTGGCTAACTAATAAAGGGCTGCTGGAGAGAACCTCCCTAACATCCTACTTGAGGAATTAGATATTTTGAGATTTTAAATACCTAAGCCCCCTGCCCCTCTCCACTTTTCTTAAATACCAGTGAAGGATATGAAGACACACAATGACTGACATCAATAACACATAAACACAAATTTAAGCTAGAATTGAAGGCTGTCCCTGGAAACAAAGGCCAGACCTCTAGGAAGCTCTCTAGTCTCCTGGGCCATGCTTACAATTTGCGTCCCTGCAACAGGGCCCACTCAGCAAGGTGCGTCCTGGTGTCTATCTACACTGCAGGGAAGGCCTGGGTTTAGATCCACACTGACCAGCAGTGCTCATAAATCTCCAGTGTGAATACTTTTACGGCGTGTCGGTATTTTCTAAAGACCAGCAGATGTGTGGTTAGCTCCAGATGGTGTCTACAGAGCTGTGCTGGGGGTAGACCTCATTTTAGTAACATAAATATGAATTACTTATTCCTGAATTGTCTTCCCAGCCTATATTGTTACAATAAAAAACGAATACAAACAAAATACTAATAACAGGAATAACTAATACAGCTCTTATTCTGTGCCAGGCAGTTTCTTTAGGGGCTTATCATGGTTTAACTGATTAATCCCTCCTCCCCCAGGATGTACGTGCTGGTAACATTCTCATTTCTCAGCTGACTCTGCCAGAAGCATCTTTAGGATGGCCCAGCTCTCCTTAAAACAATGTGGAGTTGCTGAGCATCTTCTGAAATATCCACATTACATAATCTGATGCTGATAATATTGGTGTTTACAAAATTCACCAACCTGGTTTTCCTTATCAAAATAGTTTCTTGTTTAAACAGCCAGATTCAGGCTTAAACAGACCAACCCAAACTACAATCTGAATTCCTAATCACTGTTTACAGTTAAACTTGCTTTGAAAGTTCACACTTTTAAAACTATTTCTAAATACTGCAAGTACCTCTAGTATACAGGTCCTTCCCAAGAATGTACAATTTGCAATCCCACAAACGATTCTGGTGGACCTTGTCTTCCCTTAAAAACTTTGCAGTCAATGCACCCAAACACATTAAGATGAAAATTTTAGGTCCAAGAAAACTTAAATAATTGCCTCCGAATATTAAATACTTCCATTTATCAGGTGAATCTGCCCACTTGTCCATGGGACGAGTAAACAGCCCACATTGAGTGTCCACATTTGACCAAGAGCCACTTCAGAGTCAAAGGTAACTTGTAGCAATAATGGGGATACCTTGACGGTGAGCAGGGCTGAAGTCCATCTGTCTTGGAAGCAAGACCCAAAAGCCAAGGGGCGGCCACGCGTGGGGCAGGCTTTCCCGGCAGCAAACGCGGAAACCACCATGCGCCCAGATCAGGCCCCGGTTCCCCACCTGCTACCCGTCCGCCCGGAGAGGCTCTGGGTCAGGGAAACGCTGCGCGTTCAGTGCGGCTCTTTTCTCGAGACCGTGGGTGGCTCTGAAAAGAGCCTTTGGTGTCACGGGGCCGCGAGCGCACGGCCGTTTTGGTCCGCCTCCGCGGCCTCACTTGCCCTTGGTCTTGTGGTGGCTCTCCGTCTTCTTGGGCAGCAGTACGGCCTGGATGTTGGGCAAGACGCCGCCCTGCGCGATGGTCACGCGGCCCAGCAGCTTGTTGAGCTCCTCGTCGTTGCGGATCGCTAACTGCAGATGGCGCGGGATAATGCGCGTTTTTTTGTTGTCGCGCGCCGCATTGCCAGCCAGCTCCAGGATCTCGGCGGTTAGGTATTCGAGCACTGCCGCTAGGTAGACAGGAGCACCGGCGCCAACACGTTCCGAATAATTGCCCTTGCGGAGCAGCCGGTGAACACGACCCACAGGAAACTGCAACCCCGCGCGCGACGACCGCGACTTGGCTTTGGCGCGTGCCTTGCCGCCCTGCTTGCCGCGGCCAGACATCTTCAAACCAGGCGCGGGAAGGGAGAAATCGAGATCGTGGGAACTAAAATAACGAAACCGCGAGCGCCAGTGAGTCTTTATATATAGTCGGGAGGTAGGTGAGCCGGCGCCTTCCGATTGGGCAGCAAGAGTGACCAGTCATAACATGAAGCTGCCATCTCCTCATTTGCATGTGCCGTTTCCTATGATGACGTCATCAGCATGTAAACCTATTAGAAGCTAGGAGCTTCAGAGCCTTCATTTGAATACGGGATATATAAATAGAGTTGTTAAGACCAATCTTCTTTTAGTTTGGCGAGACCTGTCAATATGCCTGACCCGTCCAAGTCAGCTCCAGCACCCAAAAAGGGTTCTAAGAAAGCCGTCACCAAAGCGCAGAAGAAGGACGGCAAGAAACGCAAGCGCAGCCGCAAGGAGAGCTACTCCATCTACGTGTACAAGGTGTTGAAGCAGGTGCATCCAGACACCGGCATCTCATCCAAAGCCATGGGCATCATGAACTCGTTTGTCAACGACATCTTCGAACGCATCGCTAGCGAGGCCTCCCGCCTGGCGCACTACAACAAGCGTTCCACCATCACGTCCCGCGAGGTGCAGACGGCTGTGCGCCTGCTGCTTCCCGGAGAGCTGGCCAAGCACGCCGTGTCGGAGGGCACCAAGGCCGTCACCAAGTACACCAGCTCCAAGTGAGACGCGCCAAGGCGCCCGAAACCCAAAGGCTCTTTTCAGAGCCACCTCCATGCTCAAAAAGGAGCGTGTCACCTGGTCCGGTTGTGACCCGCTGTTGGGGAGGCTGAGCTAGCAATCGGCGCAAATTCCGACAATGTCCTCTCCTTAATGGTGTAGTCCCTAAAACGCCACCTGGGGCGTCCCCGGGGCCACCCAGAAGCCGGAGAGCGCGCTGCCCTGGCGCTTGCACGAGGACCCGGGGCCCTCCTGTCCGCTCGGTGGCCTCCAGGAAGGCTTCACGCAAACCTACCCCCGCCCCGCCCTCCCCGTGCCCCTCCTTAGTGCTGCGCCAGTTCTCACATTTGGTGATTCCCTGGGTGCTGTTGCTTAGCCTTGGCGTTTGGGAGCCGTCCTTCCGAAGGCTTTGCCACCACGGGGCACCAGGAGTTTCTTATGCCAAACACATTTCAGCAGCGTTGACTTTAAGCAGCTCCTTAGGGGCGCTACGCAATCCTGTTTGAAAATTCTAAAGGGCGGACGCACAGATACTGTTCACTCTCAAACTCGGCTAAAAATCTTCAAATTTGGACATTAGTATTTTAAAACCGCGAATACTTCACGTAAGCCCAGTAAACGATGAAAGAGCCGTTTTAAGAAAACAAACGTAGTGCCTTAAACTTAAGTCCAAGTCCTGTGTTAAGTATGATGTAAAAACCTTAACTGGGACCTGGCTATCCTGGCTCAAAAATATCCCGGTACCGGTGACTCAAACCACGAGGACACCTGCAACCCAGGCTCCAGAAGCCAAAACGCAGCCTCGGATTCAGGTTCGAGGTTCTGTCCCCTCAGGTGGATAATGGCCTTTCAACTCCTGCCCCCTGAAGGACGCCCACACCTTCAGGGGCCGCCACGCGTTTGCCAACGGTTACCCTCCCACAGTAAATTCTTTGTCTTGCAGTTGTAGCTTCTTAAAGGGATAGTTTTCCACCCTCCAAGTTTTTGGGTTACTCCATAATAATTAGCCAATTTGACTTGAAATTTGTAGCAGAAAAGGGCGATGGGGGTGTATCTTAAATGCGTTGCAGATTGGACATCTGTCAAGTCCTTTCCAGATCCTTAGTTTAAGCGTTTATCTTCATATTTTCAGACCCTTGAGAATGCTTCCACTGTGTTGAATCCCAGCCTCAGGCATTCTCAATTATTTGTTGATCCCCTTTAACCTTCAAGTTAGTAACATTCTTTTTCTCTGTGACAGACAATATTATAGACATGGATGGACTCTATACAATTTCAATTTCTTGCTAATATTTCAGTAGTAGGGACTCTGTCACCTTGCCTCTCCCTTGACATGCTCCTGTCCTAGCAGAGGGCCAAAATGGGCCCATTCTGTGCCTAGGGCTGCCCAGAAGAGGCAGCCTTTTTTCACTTCTACTAAGGTGTCCAAAGGGCTGAGAAATTAATGGATGCCTTGCATTATCTTGCATTGCAACACACATCTTCATAGGAACACATCTGGGAATTACTCATGTTTCCTCTTGATTTTAGTTTTGGTACTAAACAGCGTTGTTACCCACTGCTAGCAGAACAACATCTCTGTGCTGGAGACCAGTTTTGTTTCATGAAACCTATCCTTCGAGCTCATTATTAAGGCAGAGAAGCACATGAATCTGTGAGACTGATTTCATGTGACGGGGTCTACAAGCGCTCTTTTAGATGCTGACTCCCAATCTAGGCTGGTAGGAGGCTGACTGAACAGGGTCAGTAGACCCGCACTGAGCATTGGATTCTGTACTTTTGAATGTAGATCAATTTAATTTTTGGATTATAACTAGAAAGGCAAAGATTTGAGTAAAACAGTTGTGACAAAATTTTCCACTTCCATGTAGTCTTCTCAATATTGCTTCAGACCAGTTAATCTATAAAATAAAGAGAAATGTTTCTGTGCACTGCTTTCACTGTAACCATACCACCATATATGCCCAGGGAGTACTCTGTTAACTCCATTTTTCATACATATAAATTTTATTTATCAACTTTATTTTTAAAACAATTGTGTAGGGTCCAGGTAATTTTCTAAACACTGAATTTTGGTCACCTACAAGTATTTTGAAATCAATTTACATACTTTGTTTTTACAAGGTGGTTGGTAACAAAAAACACTTCACATTAGGATGAAATTGAGGTATAAATGGAATGGAAATAGTAGTTTACGCAGGAAAGATTACCGAAAATACTTGTGTTAAGGAAGCATTTGATCGTGTTTTGCGAATTGATTATGGTATTGACTTGCCACTTTAATAGATATCTTTAAAAGAGTGATGTGACCTAAACTTGGGGGGGGGGGATTTGCATCCTTGCACCGATTAGAACGGTAAAAATATTGTAGGTGACAACTTAAAAACGCTCGAGTTTTAAAATTTCCCTCGGGAGTGGACCCGCGGGGGAAGAGGACAGCGGCTGTGGCTGCGGAGGCTCCGTGCTCACATTTCCTTCCCAGCTCCCTCGCCCAGCCCGGCACTGCCCCCGGCTTCTTTTGGCGAGAAGTACTGCAAAACACTATTACCTTTCATGGAGCGTCAGTTCCTTGCCTGAGACAACGACAGGTTCTTGCAATACAGCTCTCAAACCGCTCCAGGAAGTAATTAGCAATCCTCTTTAAGCAAGAAAAACCATCTCCTTTCCCGAGTGAACTCATGTCAAAGCGCTTTCTCCCGAGCTACGACGGTTCTTTCCAAATAAACACCAGAAATTCAGAATAAAGAGGGAATTCTCCATCACTAGCGCGCCACAGAATGTAATACGGCTGGAAAGGGGAGTCAGAAAAAGGGGAATCGACTCTCCCACCCCTTAAGGGTTAAAGCTGCCAAAGGGTTCGCCTCTTCCAACCGCCCAGAGCACAAAGCGCTTCCAATTCCCCTTCGGGTTCAAACATCCTGCCTTTGCGGGTTCAGGATCCAGGCAAGCAAACCTCCTGGAAATGTTCAGTTTTGAGGATAAAGATGTCTGGTCCAGGCGGTGATGCAGCGCCAGGCGCCACCCCGGTGCTGAGCGATAGCACCCAAGGCCTCACTAAACGCACCCTCTAGTGCTTCTCCGAGCTCACCTATCAAAGGACACAGGGGTTATGGGGTTGGCGTGAGGTCTTGGGGAAAACGACCGAAGCCCCTCAACCGCAGGCATACATCAGGTGCAGACGCAGACACATACACACACGAGCCGGGAATGTACTCTCCAGCCATCAAAGAACATTTTGAGCTCAAGGCTCCTCCTTCGCCTGGCGGATGTTTTAAGTATGCACACGGAGTCCTCCATCACCTCGGCAGCGTTACTAATTAACTCCCTGTGAAGAGCAAGTTACACGATATCTCCCTCCACTCACACACCCGCACGCGCACACTACTCTGGCGGGGCCCCTCCCAGCAACTCGGAAGCCGGTAGAGCTTAAGAATGTAGAAATGGGTTTACGTAACCACCGGTCACCGTGCTCGAAACCCTTTCTCGATTGTGTGGGTGGCTCTGAAAAGAGCCTTTGGGTTTCGGGCGCCTTGGCGCGCCTCACTTGGAGCTGGTGTACTTGGTGACGGCCTTGGTGCCCTCCGACACGGCGTGCTTGGCCAGCTCTCCGGGAAGCAGCAGGCGCACAGCCGTCTGCACCTCGCGGGACGTGATGGTGGAACGCTTGTTGTAGTGCGCCAGGCGGGAGGCCTCGCTAGCGATGCGTTCGAAGATGTCGTTGACAAACGAGTTCATGATGCCCATGGCTTTGGATGAGATGCCGGTGTCTGGATGCACCTGCTTCAACACCTTGTACACGTAGATGGAGTAGCTCTCCTTGCGGCTGCGCTTGCGTTTCTTGCCGTCCTTTTTCTGCGCCTTGGAGATGGCCTTTTTGGAACCCTTTTTGGGCGCCGGTGCTGAGCGAGAAGGCTCCGGCATGGCGAGGTGGTGGTAGGAAGTAGGCGAGTAGACAGATAGATAGATAGGTAGGCAAGTAGGCAGGAAAGCAGACAGGCAGGAAGATCCTAGTCTGCAGAAGCCGGACAAGCACGCGAGACCGCCTGGGCGGTGCTACTTATTTGCTACATATTCAAATGAGGGCTCCAAATATCTAGAATTCGATTGGACAGCGAGCCTCACGCTGCCGGGCGCGAGGGATTATGTAAATAGCAGATGACGGTTTATCTTTTCCTATTGGACAGTAGTCCAACCAATCCGAAGGCATGTCTGTAGTCAGGTTACACATCTTTGTTCAAACTGTTTTTCCTGAGGGGCCGATTGGTCTGTGTTTTATCACCGGGACAGAAATATAAAAAAGGGAAACGAAAACCCGTTTTAACCCCTCTTCATCTTTGGCTAGGAGGCAAACACGGGGGCGTTTCTTTCTGACGCCAAGAGGTACAGAAGTAAATACCTTAACTATATTCTATCACTTCCCCCCACCGCCCGGTCAAAAACGGAAGTTGCTTTCAAATTCATAAGTGAACCCCGATAACTGAAAGAAAGAAAACAAGTTTGAGGTTAAAAAATAAGCTTTACTTCACGAAGTTTGCAATCCGGGGACGCAATCCAGTATAACACCAAAAAGTGTGTTCCACCCAGAGGCTGGGAGGGAGAGTTTAAAAAGGAAAAACCTGCCATCGGGGTGAGCTGGCCAGCCTCATTACAAAATATCACAAACTCCCGTTTATTTGCTCAGGGACTTTCCCTAAACTCTTAGTAAACAAGGGGCCATTTCCGTGAGCAGTTGAGCTGTTTGGCCGAAAGTTCCGAAGTGTTTTTGGTTTTGTTCTGTTTCTTTTTTTTTTTCTTTGTGCTGTAGGGCCTATCATGGCATTAGTCACATAGCCATGAAAAGAAAATCGTAGAGTAAAAAGCCAGAAAAGAAATAAGAGTTTTGTTTGAGCCCAGGTTTAGGGCAGCTTCCCTGAAACAGTCCTTTGGAGGAAGAAAAGTGCTCGGGAAAGGAGAGCTTTCTTAAAAGGTTCTCTAGGGTTTCTCACAAAGGACATAAGGCATGGTGTCCATAGTTACATTTACATATTAGTACAGACAGAAACTGACAGTTCAAAAAAAATGATCGTTTCTTTGGTCATTACCTTGGATGTAATTTTGTAAAACTACTCAGCTATAAAGCAGATAGATGTACAACGTGGGCCCTACAGAACACAGAGCTGGTGTTTGTTTTAGATAACCCAAGTGTTTAAGGCCAGGAACGTCTCAGAAGCAAGTATACCGCACTTCTTGAATACCCTGCCCCTGGTCTCATACAATTGCTTTCTTTAATCCAAACAGCTCTTTAGGAAAACACAGAAAATAGTATTGATAATATTATTAATAAATCGAACTCTCCTGAGCCTGATTAAGATTCAGGTTCTTATCTTTGTCCTAAGATAGAATTCAGAGACAATGTGCAGTGTGACCCAACCAGCAGGAAAGTTTTGTTTGAAATGAAAGTATGCACTTACGTAGAAGTGAGGGCAACCTCAGAGGAGAGAGAGGTGCATTGAAAGATTGTAGGGTTTGAATTTCCATAGAGCCTTTTGAATATGGGTTGGTATAGGCATAATGTATACAGGTGATTAATATTTTGCTTTGAAGTTTTGTCTGAATAACAGGGTTGTCCAGGTAACTTCATTTGTATCTTGGCCTCCCTTTTCTATCAAAGTTGATGTGTTGGTTCATACAGGTTCCAGAGGTCTGTTCTTTGTCCTGGGTACAATATGACATAATTGATTAATATGACTGGAGGAAAAAAACAACATGTTAAAGAATAAACTGGGCCTTTGTTCCTAGGCCAGAAGTATGTTAGAGTGGCAAGATGATTGTCTCATGCCCCTGCCTGTAACTCAAAGGTACTTACTTTGGCAGTGTAGCAACAGGGCTCACTTTTAACTGAAGAGAGGAAATGAATGGGTTTCCAAGGAAACACCAGTTCTTCTATTATTAAAGCTGACTGAAACCCTTTAAAGTGACTGCCATATGCCATAGACTGTTTTCTAGTCTCCTAATACTCCAAGGGTTCGACACTATTGGACTCCAAATACCTATCTGAAAATAGCCTTATATCAAAATGCAAACTGAGGGCAAATAAAAAATGTCAAGAGTTTATTTGAACAAAACTCGATTCCCATAGGGTAGCGTTCATCTAGCAGATAGAAAGTTCGGGGAGCTGTACAAAATGAAAGACTTTTATAAGCAGAAGTTGGGGAGGTGGGGAAAAGGAAGTCAGGTTGGTATTGCAAAGTTACTTTCCTTCAGGCAGCAGTGGTCCAGCAGGCAGAGCACCTCGCCAGTGCTGATTAGGTGATTTATGGTTGACTGGTTTAAGATTCCATATCTGGGAGACCAGAAACTCATTAAATCTTGGTCGATGTGAGGCGTAGCATAGAACTCCACTTGGGTTTTTAACAAAAGTCACCAATCCCTGAGTTGCCTCCCCTATTAAATTAATTCCTCTATGCGCAAGGTTAAATTCCTCAGTGACATTAACTGGCAAGATAGAAACAAGGTGTGAGGACTTCAGGCTTCTCATTTATTTCAGTGTCAGCTGGGGAGTAGTTAGAAATGCAGGCTCTTGGGCCCCACCCGAACTGAGCCAGCATCAGCGTTGTAAACAGATTCATGTGCATGTCATGGTTTGAGAAGCACTGGTCTGGAGGCCACTTTTGACTCTAACCCTCCAGAGTGTTACACACATGGACCAAGAAACTCCATGGCACCCCCAAAGACAAAAATGGTTCACTGTGTTCACAGAATCATGCAAAGTGCCTTCAAGATGCCAACCCAAATACACCCTCTATAATACGCAAGTTGTCCTCCAAGGTCCTGGGGGCATCTTGAGATTGTAGGTCTCTTGACCTGTTTGGGCACAATCATCATTAACCATTTATTTGTTTACTGTAAAAGTAGGTAGTTGATTCAACAAACATTTTTCTAGAGCTCATTATGAGCTAGGTAACCACTTAATAAATACTTAAATCAGTTTGGAGCTCACAAGAGCCCTTCCAATTACACACAGTTAACTCCATTTTACAGAGCAAAAGGCTGAAGGAAACAGATTAACAGGACAAAGGTACACATCTTTATTAAGTTTTAATATCACATTCCAGGGGTATGAAAGGGTTCAGAGGAAGCCTCCCCAAAATGTGCCCCTTTGGCATGTTTTGCGTTGACTAGTTTGAGCTGAGGGCAACCGACACCCTGCAGGCTCAGAAGAAGCTTACCCCCTGCCCTTTTAACTACCTGGATGAATCTAATTTAGGGGTCTTTCCAGAATGCGAGTCTGTGCCAGAGATGAATTTTTTATTGGGGTGGCCCGTCGGGGACAGGAAAACATCCCAAACATCGGATCACCGCTGCTCTGCAGATGGCCCTCCTCCTCTGGAGCCTCAGGCCCCATCCCACTCCCCATCTCACACATACTTATCTCACTTTATCTTTCAGTCTTTGGGCCTCTGGTGTGTAGGGGGGCACATATACAGAATGTCACAGGATTCTCTTCTGTGCATCTGTCTGATGTCAGTTTTATCCAGAAACCAGTGAGAAGGACATTGGCAGGTGGAAGGAAATTTTTTTCCTCCCCTGCAGTTAGCATAACAGGCAGGAGCCTTTTGCTTCTGGGCGGCTGAGTACCAGGTGAAACCTCAGCCTGGATGGGGGAGTGTTCTTGATTCTGAACAAGAAGAATTCTTGAGCAAATTGAAACAGTGTAGGTGATGAAGGAATTTATTAAAGCAAGAGTGGAAATGAATGGCAGCGGCTGTGTAGGCAGCAGAGGGCAGGAAAATGCAGAGCTGCAGATGGGGAGGAAGCTCCCTGCATAGGGTCACCCAGGTGACAGAAACTTGCAGGCCCACATCAGAGCTCTCAGCAGCCCCTCCCTACTTATCAGGGGGAACATGGAGACTTGGAAATAGAATGAAATAGCAAAAAGACAAAATGTAGTGGTTGAGCAGTGAGAAAGCTTTACTTAAAGTTATGCACCTAAAGAAAGTACGGATGTCCTCAGACAGCAGGTGTGCTAAAAGTCTGGGGTTTCTGTCTTTTAAGCATTTTTCAGAAATGTGGCAAAGGGCCAGGAGGTGTAGGTTTTCAAGTGGTCTCAAACTGCTTATCTCTGGTGAGAGACACTATGTCTCCTCTCCTGTTATTAGCAGTCCTCCAGCTAGCTCTGCAAAATAAACAACACAAAAAATTTATTGATCCAGTTCCTCCCTGGGATAGTGGCTTCCCTCTGGGAACATACCAATCAAGAGTACCCACCCTGCCTCCACAGTGGGTTGAATTATTGTCTGTTTGCTAAAGGATATGTTAGGAGTCTTACTTCCTAACTTCCTAGTTTTTAAAAATGGAATCTTAGCCTTAAGATGGAATCCTTCCTGGTCTTACTATACTGTTTATATCTTGGCTTGTTTGGAAAATTAATCATGATGCTTGTCTCCTGTCTCTACCCTGTCTCACTTTCACTTGTTGGACATCGCTCAAAGCTGCTGCAGCCAAGGGGCCCCTGGGTGCCTGGCATACAGATGGCAAGTGAGACCTCTCACCATGTCAGCCTCCCCACATCCCTGTCTGCAGGGCCTGATGGAGCAAGACCGGTGAGGTTTTGTCTTTCTAAATTTAGATTAACAGAAGAAAATGCTGGTGGAACTAGTTCCTTGTGTTCAGGGGCTCTTGGTAGATTTCTTCCTCCCAGAGATGGTCTTTGTTTCTCTTTCTCTATCATGTGTTTGCAAGCTTGGCTTTGTGACCAGTGCGAATTTTCTCTCTGGCCTCTGCCACCCGCAGGGTGAAGCCCTGTAGGCTGTGTGCCCATCGCCCATGTTCTTTGTCCGCTGTGCCAGCTCACCAGGGAGATTGTCATTAGGTCCCAGCCTGGGGGAACCTTTGTTGTCTCAACCTGGGAAAATCCCATTGTGGTGGTGCCTTCACTGGGGTCACACATTAGTGGGTCTGTAGCTGGAAGTGTCATGTCTTTGTGAGAGGTCAGAAGCCTACTGAAACAGGACAGGGAAGAGCAGGAGAGACTCCATTTTCAACTGAAACTTTGTCTTGAGGCTTAAAGGTT